CCCCACACGGGTGCCAGCGTCACCGGGTGTACCCAGCACCACTCAGCAGGCTAAGCCACCGCGAGACTTAACAGCTGCTTCTGTCAGTCACATGCAGGCTCTTTAGACGGTGCTCACTGGACACTCTTCTGTGACACACAGCCTCCTAACTGATAGGCATGTGCCAAGTCATACGGAACCCTACAATTAATACCCAGCCAGCGACGGGAAGGAAACCACCCCAGTGGCCAGCGAAAGAACCACCAGGGCTGGAAGTGTGGTCATTTCTCCACTTAATTTAGCCAGTGACAAATAGCTTACATGCTTTGATTCAGCTACATAGTGAGAACACATTCAATATCAAACACACCACGAATGGACTCACACCCACAAACCAAGCAATTCTGTGGGAAGCAGTGATCAGTGACATTTCCAGAGAGCAGCTGTATCAGGGCTGACCCAGGGATCAGCGAGCACGATTCAGTAGAGAGTGTGCGGCACCAGGACAGCATCCTTCTCCAAATGTACAGGCATTTACAAGTGCATTTTATAAAAAACCTCACGGAAACATAATCCTCCGGACGACAACACGGATCTGTGGCTTTTCTGTGAGCAGCATGTGTGGTGGGTAAGTACTTTGTTAGACGTGCTCCCTAAGACGGGCTATGTAATGAATGTGAGCAGGCCACACAATATTCTAATCCACGGTATTACATGCTGCTGATGGCATAGATAACATTCACTACAGCAGCAAGCTTGAGCATTCTGTTCACACCCTTGGATGCAGGAGTCTGTCGCCTTCCTACCAGCACAGAGTGCCAGCTAACCAATATGGCCGGCGCTGGACTTATTTCAATGCAACTCCGCCATCCTCAGCTACACGTTGGGAAAACGGGTCGACGTCAAACCAGAGCCTGGAGCACTCAGAGCCAGTCCTGCTCACGGTTGCCGCACCAGCATCCGGAAATCACATGCAGCTATGGGACATTTTTTTTTTAATTAATAAAAAATAAAAAACAACTATTTCAGCACCTAAAATAAGCTATTAAAATCCCATCGATTCTCAGGCCAAGAACAGAACCCCACAGGAGGCTACATATTTAAATCCCGAATTCCTTCATGGCCCATGGTCTGTCTCTCTCGCTTACTTCCCTGTAGATCTTTGAACGGATTGTTTTTCTTGGTTTTAAAAATGACAACATTGCTGACACCACTTATATAAGGAGCAGCACAGCCAAACAGCTGCTGCGATTTCGTCAGAACAGATTCTCACCTGCGTATTTCTCATCCGTAAGGGAAATGTACATGTGCGGGTTAGTCCGTGCAGGCAGGGAGAGATTAAGCTAGACATCTGCACGCCGACTTTCATATTGTAATTGCATAGTGGATCTGGCACTAAAGCACTGCAGCCATGTGTCATTTTTGCATGATGTGAGAAATGTCAAGCAGCTACACAAGCACGTCCCGGCTCTCCGCATGACAACCTGAGACATTTGCACTCCAAAATGTGGAAGAACGATCAACTGACCCCCTAGATCTCCCCAAAGAGCAGCAGGAAGGCGGCGGGGCTCACCTGCTGGCCGTACTGCATGCCCCCCATGCTGCCCTGGGCACGGCCTTGCATACCCATGGGGTACCTCTGCGAAGGGGGAGGCCCATACCCTTGGTTCGGGTACGAGGCCCCCTGTTGGGCCCCAGGAGGAGGCCCCTGCTGCTGCTGCTGCTGTTGCTGTTGCTGCTGCTGCTGCTGATGTGAGTAAGGGTTGGCGCCACCGTAAGGCTGGGGCCTCATCTTCCCCATCTGGTCCATCGGGCTAGAGGGCTGGAGGTCAGGGAGAGAGGGCAGAGGGGACATTAGCAGCATAGAGAACCTTCAGCACAGCCTCAGGTACACAGGCGGTAGCTACAAGAGCAACAATGAGCAGCAACCTCAAAGTGAGTGGAAGAGAAAATGCCCCCCACGAAAGGCTGAAACTGGCCAGAATTATGCCAGCGCATCCCTGATTTCATCCATCCAGCCATCCATCCATTTTCTGAAACCGCTTAATCCCAACTGGGGTCACAGCGATCCCTGATTTCATCACATTTAATATGTGGAAATCCAAGCGCTTGTGTCAGCGGCCGGGGGGGACGGCCCACACGCTGCAAGCCCGCCAACTTGTCATGTCATCCCCAGGTTTGCGGAAGCTGCTGTATTTGACTCTGCCTTCAGTAAACAAGCAGCAGTTCTGTGCTGCGAGGGGGAGCCAATTAGACACCTCTGATGTCAAAGCTGGAATAGACAGGCAGCGGGAAAGACGCCTTATTAATGGCGATCAGACAGGCGCTGTGACAAGGCAGCTGAAACCCTGGCAGGTCTCTCGGCAAAGCCGCGGGATCGCAAGACACCCTTGGGCCTGGTGCATCTACCCTGGAGCGCGCTCTGGTGACGATGATGATGCCCGGATGGCTTGACGGACAAGCGTCTGTCACACACTCGTGCGTCAGGGGAAATGCAGGCAGTCAAAGGGTGCTGAGTGACAGGAAGGGGACCCACGGCAGGAGTGGCCAGAGTGTGTTTGTGTGGGCAGGTGTATGACATTTAGGGTGCCCACTGCTCCCAGAATGTGATAAAAACCTGTTGGGTAAAAAAATAATAATTGTCTTTTTTTAAATCTGTAATTAAAAAAAAAAAAAAAAACTAAAAAGATTAAGTCTTGTATTTTGTTTGATTACTTATGGTTAAGGTTAGGGCTGGGTAGGGGTTAAGGTCGTCATTGTTGGGATTAGGGTTTTGCCCATAGCAATGAATGGTGAGTCCTCAAAGAGATGACTACAAACACGTGCTTGTGTTTGAGCTGCCTTCTCCACACTCAGGGCTCCACCCAGGTTAATTCCCACGGGGAGGGGGGGCAGAGATTCCCACGCTCGTTAAAATGAATTTCACCTCAGTCGGCCTTAGTTAAGGAAGTCGACAACAGAGCTATTTATAACTCATCTGGAATAGAGGGCAGTCTGCCGAAAATGTAACACGTCCCAGCTGTACTCCTGTTTGAACCGCGGCCAGGCCGGTCCTTTCTGGCACTGAATGAATGACACCGGTGGTTGGGGGGGGGGGAGCCGACCCGAGGGCAGCTTCCTGTCTCGCAGGCCGAGCCATCACACGCGCGTGCACTTCCGGAAGCCCCTTCGGGACTTGGCGCGCCCCCGAGGCTGACGGCGAGCCAAGGGCCGTAAAGGAAGCCGTGAGTGTGCCACAAACAGCGCAGCCAAAACCCCCCGCCCCCTCCACCACAGTGCCGTGATGGGGCTCAGCCGCTACAGACATACAGACAAGCATTTATTCAATATTAAACGCTCTGGATCAAGGACGTAAAGGGAAGGGCCTCAGGGTGTCACCGACTGCACTGGACATGTACAGTGACAGACACCGAGGTCGACCATAGCTCAGGACGTCGAGCCCTGGGGAGAGACAGCACAAGCCATCCACTAGATCTGATGTAATCCTTTATTTTAATAAACTTGAAAGACATTATACACGATCTATTTACTTCCCTTAAGTCATAAGCTTTGACACCAACACAAAAGGAGTGATTTCGATTACGTGACAATCACGGTACACCTGGCTATCACTGCGTTACTACAGAAGTCTGACTTATACTGACCACATGGACAAGAGAGGCAGAACTGGCATAATAACCCACCCAGCTGTCATTACCACAAAAGGGCAGAAATGTGCCCAGATACCCTGAACGGTGTCGCTGTCCACCTTTTATATAGAGCCCCAATTCCCACCCACCTACCCAATCAGACTATTCACTGGACGGCTCGACAAATCGATGGACCATAAACTACAACTCAAAGACCACGGTGGCCAACGCCTCCTTCCAAACACCAGGACGTTTGTTGGGCTTGAGGGGGAAGGGCCTCGAGCATCTCATATTCCCACCAGAGGTCCTCAGATATTCAGTATCTGTCGTACATCACTAAATCCGAGCGCTGTAACTGGAGTCACACTAAGGCAAAGGAGATCTGGAGCAAGAATATATTCCAAAATTACTCAAGTATACTGGGTCCAATTCAAATAGAACACAAAACATAGCATCACTCTGAAGACACAGAAGTGACAGCTTTACCCCCCGCTGGGGTGACGTCACACAAGGCCGGCAATAAAATAAAGTTACGACGGTCTAAAAATAAGTATGATTCACTGATTATACAGTGAGCAAGACAGGAAGCGACCAGCTGTGAAATTCATTTAAATTCATCTGAAGCCATTTGTCACATTGCCGTTTTGGTTGCGATTTTCAAACTAAAAACCATGCAGCACTTACATATAGATCACAATAAATGATTGGTAAAATGTCAAAAAGCAGTACTACCAATATCCCTCGGACGGTGCACGCTGCCATGTGCTTCCAGGGAGAGACACCAGGCTCACTCTGACCCTGTACTGCATATGTGATCACGCAAGACGGATGGAACTTTAATATATCCTGAGTGCACAAGCCATCGGAAAGAGTACATGATGTTCACTTAAATACGGAATAAGGCCATACAAAGCACAGTGACTGTGTGCCAGCAAAGGCTACGATATGAATGGCGACACAGCCACCAGACCCCTAAATCACCCCAACAAAACACTTACTGCTCAATGAAGCCCTGAACCAAAAGGCCAAATGAAGCTGTTAAAATAAAAAAAAAAGAATAATTAAAAAACACACATCTTCCACGTGTAAGAGCACAGAGGATCCCGTCGTGTGTGTTTAAATGGGGCACGTGAGGCCACAGCAGGGAGCGGCATCATTACGCTGCTCGCAGCCGTCCAACGCCAACACTTCCCTGGAAAGATGAGGATCACAGCAGCGGGAAGGACACACTAACAGAACCTGTCCAGGGCCTCATGCAGCCAAACTGCAGCCACAAGGTCGGGACCTATATCATTCAGCTGCAAACCAGTGTCTCGGAGCACAGAAAGCACCCAAACTAATGATAATATCCCTCCACAGTTTTTCCTGTGTTACATTAAACATGTCTTGATGTATTCAGTTCTGCAGCCATAAATGCCAGTGGTTCACAGCTCCTATACAGTGAACACCAAGCCTCACGTCACAGCCACTACGGCAAGGCTGCATATCAGCACTTCAAAGAGGATCAGAAACCAACTGAGCTATATGTGGGAGAATAAAGGCTCCGAAAGAGAGCAGCGCCCTAAATTCACAGGCAACAAAAAAAAAAAAAAGCTCTGCTGGGTGATTATGAGGTTATTTGTTTCTCACACTGAATGTTACAGCTTATACCTTGACAGACATCCATCAAAGGTCTTCTCTGAACAGCCTGCATCTTAATGCATCTGTGTGTGATAAAGAGAGAGATAGAAGTGCAAGGAGAGAGAAAGAGAGCGAGAGGAGAGCAAGCAGAGAGAAAAAGAGCGAGAGGAGAGCAAGGAGAGAAAAAAAGAGCGAGAGGAGAGCAAGCAGAGAGAAAAAGAGCGAGAGGAGAGCAAGGAGAGAAAAAAAGAGCG